TCTGGCCGGAAGCCGTCAACTGGACCGTTCATTTGCATAACCGATGCCCTACTCTTGCTGTGAAGTATAAGACACTAGAGAAAGCATGGTGTGGCTTCAAACCCTGAGTGGAGAACTTTAAGGTGTTTGGTTGCATCGGACATGTGGGGGTTCTGTAACGTTTAGTTGGGTTGAACCAGAATTTCACTTTTTGGTAAACACTATATGGGTTGGAATGCAATTTCAATTTAGTTTCGATTCAGGTTTAATGCTAAATTCATTGAATTGAATTGAAGATGGGTTCTGAACACTTAACACCAACCTAATTACTGCTGAGTTTAAGTCGGATTGTAATTTTTTATTCAACCCCAATATTGAGAATTTCTATCCAAGCTATAAATAAGCTCTCAATTTTTTTCGTTATAGTAATGTCTTTCTAGAATTAATTTTAACGTCATTTTTGTGACTTTCTCGATCAGTGCCTCGGGTAAGTAGTCGGGCTCCGGGACATTACTACCGCAGCTACTATCAACCCGAGCTCATAGAAGGAAAAAACGGACTAAAGTGAGAAGTTCATTGGCCATACATAGTTAAGAAGAATGATGGTTAACCTCTTTCATGACCCATATCAAATTGGGATCCCTCCCAATCTTAATCCTCGATTTCAAATATTTGGAGCTTTACCCAGTTTGTAGCTAACGTCGGGCAGTAGAACTGCATAAGAGATTCACTCTAATGAACCGTATGAGAGGCCAGTCTCAAGTAAGCTCTAATGGGCCTAGTTGACACTGAAAATCATTTCTGACAGCTCACATAGAATTCCAATTCTATCGGGCTTGAATCACCCAACATTTCGGCCTATGATGCTTGATGTCCTTTATAAAGTCTTCATATAGTTCGGCCCATTAACCTCACCAGAAAAATCCAAATCAATTTCAACTTTTAGTATTCCGGTACAGTGTAGGTCTGTCATCATATCGTAATTGAATCGGATTTTGATTGATTTGAGTTTGATTTCAAAAGTTTGATATGATAATTAGGTGGATTTTATTTTTGTAGTCCAGAATCTGTCAATAATTCAAAAATCTGATTTGATCTTAACAACTTGATTAACTAAATCTAAATTTGATATTGTATTCTGATTATCGATAAAAAATATTAATTCATATTTAACTAATCGAAGTCAAATTCGAATCAGAATCCGATCAATTAATACGCCAGTGCAATGCCGTGTCGAGAGTGATATGCAATCATTAATTTGGCTTGCCTGATTTACAATAATTTATTGAAAAAATAGTAAACTAATAAAAAGTTAGCAAAATAAAATCTTTACGCGTATCACATTTTTATCAGATGAAAAATAAAAGTATAATACCGGAAAATTATTTTGTTGTACTCTAATTGGAACCTTCACCAGGGTGGCTTTCCCGTCCGCTCTCCCCCATCAACGTGAGCATTCTTCATACCAGCCTTGGTTGATGACAGTTATGATTGTATAGATTAGTAATTAATGCAATAATTAAGGAGAGAAAAATAACACGATTAAGACATAGATATAGAGTGATTCGGTCAACATGATCTACTCCACTATGAAGGGCTAGGATGACTTGAATATTTTATTACTATAAGGGTGTAAGGAGATCAGACGTGAGCAAAAAGAGGTACAAACTATGAGAGAGATGAGGGTGATACAAGATGAAATCGATGCCTCCATGTATTGATGGGACTTACAATTTATAGTGTCTCTTAACAGATTGAGGTGCCTTTTCAGTAACTAAGTAGTTAATTTGGTAGAGCTGCCGTATTCCTTGCAACAACTGAGGCAGTTACATAGCTCTCTCTAAAACTAGGTTTAAGGACAACGAGGTTAACTTTTTTCAAGGCGCCGTGGACGAGGCTCTTGGAATGGCGCTGCCTATTCTTTGATGACATCACTCTTGGAGCCTTGATGAACCTAACTGGACATTGATTTCTTTTAGGCTGGATCCACTGAGTTTTGTCTAGTTGGACCTTTTGTTCAAGATGGGCTAATAATTTGAGTTGGGGCCTTGGCCTGGTCCATCAGAAACAAAGATGTAAAAAAAAAGTCTCACTTTGTTGGAGTCTTAAAAAGGGATATAATGTTACAGGCAGCAGGTAACTACTCCATATATGGCCAGACAGACCTGTGAACTTTGTATTCCATGATCTCTCTTTTTTTTCTTTTCAATTTGATATGGGTATTCGGGGGCCAACTTAGATGCACTTTGATTAATCTTTTCTTAGGTCCAATCAAAAGAAACTATTGACACTAGAATTAGAGAATTTATGAGGGCTAAGTCTCTCTTAGAATAGAAAAATTATTAAGTTTTGAACTTAAAATGTATGAGTTTACAATTTATCCAACGTGTAACTACTGTGGCGTGTGATACACTACCCGCCATATTAACTCTCCCAAAGACACCTAATTACCACGCTCTTCTCTGAAAGTAGAACAATACTATGCTTACCAAATTATTTATTAAATATTTTATCTCAACTCAGTGTGCGTGGTTAAATTAGTGAGATCCACTAACTTCACCAAACATTCAATACACACGATTTTAACACATCATTTAAGATACAAAATTTGATAAACAAATATGGGCAGCATAATTTGTCCGTGAAGATAACAGGAACTTACCTAGCCAATGTCCAATTTCTCTAATTATCGCCATCAATCGAACTCATTACTCTACTAATTTTTTTTTGTTTGCATACTTTCAGAAGATTTTTGTTCAATTGTGAGTATGAAGGCTGTGAGAAATAACTCACTAATAAACATGAATATTAGTTAAATTTACGAGTCATAAGCTCAATTCGAATCAAATTTAAGAAGTGTAAATTCACGGTTCACGCAAAGATATCTACAAACCACTAGGTACCTCTACGGATTCCATCTCAAATTATTAATAAAAATCGAGTTTTCTCTTTTGTTCTTTCCTAGGTCTAGGTAAGGTATATGAAGAAAAAAAATCCAATTGAGAATGATATTTGTGATGTGCAAAGCACAAATGATGAAATAGACCCAAGTGGAGAATTCACACACTCAACTCAAAGCACAATAATGGGTAAATTATATCCACCTCCTCTGAGGTATGATCAAATAACGAGACCCTCTCATATATATAGAAAATAACACTGCACCCTCTTTTGCTTTAGTTGTCTGTAACACATGCGCCTAGCCGATAATGAATCGTTAAAGGCCAGTTATAGTGTTGATGAGGTAAGCAACTTGCTTTAATAGCATACCAACATTACCTTCAATGGACCCACTTAACATTTGTGTTGGCCATTCTTCCTCTCAGGCCCTAAAGTCATACTCTTCTTCTCCATCAGGTGGCCATTTGGACCACTGCCAACTAACCACCACTGTTAACCATGGCAATTATCACCATTCCATTCCTCTTTCCCCCCACCACCCACCCACCCACCAATTGAAAAATCTATTTTTGTTAAGAAATAACACTAACTTAATTCTATCACACATCAATTTCTGTGGAAACCCATCACTTTGCTGAAAGAATCAATGTTTTGCTGCCCCTATAACCACAGAGAGAGAGAGAGAGAGGAACGAATGAAACTCTTCCACCTCCCCCCACCACCAATCAGTTACATTAGTTATAACATTACTGAATCGCAAAGATCCTACTTCTTACACAATAGGATCATCAAGCATATGCCCAACTTCTTGTAATGTCAACAACAACAACTTCTTGTACATATGCATCTAGGTATGAACTCAACCCGATTTATTGCATACATTAAGGTTGATTTATGAAAGCATATTAAGTCTAATTATGTCGCAGTCTTTAAAATCATGAAACCAATATCAAATTAAGGATTGTGGAAATTTTAATCAAATCATTACACTAATTGAATTTAAATGTTAGCAAAATCTTTGTTATTAAAATTGATGATTTGAATCACATAACTATGCTCAACAATAACAAAACTATTAGCGTCAAGTAGTAATAGGGACAAGTTGTAAATTCAGACTTTCTGAGTTCGAATCTTGACAATCTTTTGGGGACAGACCATGAGAGATTTATTCATCATGAATACTCTACTCCTGACATGAATGACTTGTCTTTGATTAAACCGGAGAGAGAATTAGTTGAAGTACGCGTAAACTGATCGAAATATCCCTAACAATTGAACAAAAAAAATAAAATAACAACTATTGAAGACTTTTTCAATATACTTGTAAAGTGAAGTATTACAACATAACTATTTTTTGAGAATCATCTTCTAAAATACAGGTTTGCAAAAGTTATGATATCCTTATTGAATGGGAAAGTTTTGATAACCAGCAACTTCGTTTGTACCTGCAACATCATGCATACCATCAACACATTCACACTTTAGGCCACCAATATCATCTGTACAACATAGAAGATGGAGACCACCAACACCAACACCAACACCAACACCAACGCCAACACCAACACCAACACCATCATCATCTTCATATGCAACACCAGCTTCATCATCAACATCATGGAGGCCACCAACACAATAAAATAGAATTGAAACTTTTTGAAATGAATTTTTTTTGTGGATTTCTCTTTAAACAGTAGTTGCCTTTTTTGGTTGGTTGGATATTTGTTTATGGATGAGACAAAAACAGTGTTTGGGATGATTTTTGACTAATGGTTGGAAATCTGCTTTTGGATCATATTTATGTGGAATATTGGAATTTGGTGAATGAATATTTGGTTACAAAATAGATGTCTTTTCTGTCAAAGTTCACATTTAAGCCCATGCTCCTCTCACCTCTAACTCACGTGACTTAGTTTTAGACGAAAAAGTGGATGGTGGTAATTTTCTGTGCACAATAATATAAATTTATATATTTGAGAGTGTAAATTAATATTTTTAAATTTTAAGTGTGTAATTTGAGATTCCAGAGATCTTTTAGGATGTAATTTGATATTAACCCTAAAAAAAATAAAAATTGTAGTATACCCAGGACCCAATGTATTTAAAACAAACAATTATTGTCACTGTATTTGGACCCAAATACCCTCGCTAGGAATACTCTGATGAGCCACAAATAGAAGATAATATCCGGCTGGTGCAAGATTACCCGAACCAGGCATCACTACCTGCACTTGATGCGTAGATTTACCGGCAGCTGCCACTTTCCCGCCACCAAGAACTAGCGACCTTTGATTCATGGAGAAGGAGTGGGTGTTGAACGGTGGTGCTACCATTAGTACCGTGACCGAATTTCCAATTAGTGTTCCCCTGACCGAAAACCGTATAGTGACCCGCTTTCCATACCCGATTTTGGATTGAGAAACGGGTGAAATGATCTTCGGGCGTAAATTAACGGACTCTGGATCCAAATACGAAGGTGAGAATGATTCTAATCTCAACTCTGTAGGATAAAACACTCCGATGAAATTGTAATAAACATGAGGGTTGCTGCCACCTACAAGAACTCGGCCGTCACGGAGCAAAACCGCCGTGGAGTGGTACATTCTGGGTATTGTGGTCGGATTTTGTACATCAAACCGTGATTCAATTGAATTTTCGGGTCTGTAAATGACCGGATTTAAAGCCGGTTTTCGCCCAGATTCCCACCCGGCACAACCCGCGGATGCCCCATTTATGATTAAAACATCACCATTAGGAAGTAATAGCATGTCACCCATAACCCGAGCGAGAGGCATGGTCTCCATAACCCATTGAGGTGACGGGTCGGTTATTTTGATCCGTCCACAAGTATTCAAAGCTCTGACAAAATTACGATTCCTCGCATTGGCGTAGGCTCCTTTGGGTGCACCCCCACATACCAAAACTTCAGCTTCAAATGCTAGTCCTTGACTGTTAATCTTCAGTGGAAGAAGAACTGCCGAACCCGTACTGGGATAATTTCGAGGGTCTCCATTAGGTATTGTCGGGTAGGTCTTTACGACTCTATCCTTTGAATAGTCGAATAAAATAGCCCGATTATTTGCAAAAATAAATAAATTTCCGTCCACGTTGAGGAAAACAAATGGGTATAGATTATTCTCAACCGTTGGATCATTGGTCTGAAGTAGAAATGGCAAATTGTATGTTTTTGATGCAGAATTGGTCTTTGGATAAAACTCGTAGTTGAATTGCCGTCGACCGCCGATGATAATTTGCCGGCCGTCAGGCAATATGTGATTGGTTGGATACCATCTTCTTTGAGTTAAGCCATTCTTTATCTCTTGCCAATCACAACCACTCCTGCATGGCTTGAACACTCTGACCACATGGTCACCGTCATTGTAACCGCCGGTCTGGACCAACGAACCGTCCGACATGACGGATCCGGAGGAGCACCAAACGTCGGTGAGAACAGTGAGAGGACGTATAGAGTTCGTTGCAACATCGTATTCAACTGAGTGTGCAGTGCAGTCAATCTTCAGAACCTTTTCGTCCGGGTCGTTCCTGCATTTGCCGCCGGGCAATGAGATGTTTGATTTGCCGAAGTCTGTACGATCGTAGATGACTACGCGGTCGTTGTTGAGGAGTTGCATGTGCATGGCTGTTATGCCAATGTTGGGTAAAAGGAGATCCCAGCTGCCTCCGGCGGCGTGGGTCAGATTCAGGTTACATGGTCTGGCGACAAGCAGTATTAACTGCCGTACGACGAAAGAAAGAATCAAAGTTTTGGACATGAGTTGTGTTTTAGATTTGGGTCTGAGGTTGTTGTCCGGAGGATTTTGGTGAGAGTGGGGGTAGAGTTGTCTCCTTTAAATTCTATACCAAGTTGTGTGTGTCTGTGTGAGCATCACACGCAAGCAAACGCGTAAAAATTAATATCTTGTTAGTATTTATTTATTTGTTTGTTTTTCTGTTCCAAGTGTATTATCAGTTAAAACTGTAAAGTAGAATATCAGTTAAAACTGTAAAATAGAATAAGCGGTAATAATCAAATCACGAGAAATTTATTTTTTATAAATATTCTAATCTTCACGTGGATAATTCGTCTTTGATTGGACTGGAAAAAAGATTAGTCGATGTGCACTTAAACTGACCCGGACACTCTGACTATTGAACCAAAAAAAATATTAAGTTAAATTTTTAACCTTTTGGATGTTTCAAAAAATTTGTCAAAAACTCCAATAATTGTGAATATTTTTTTTGAAAACTCAATAATTGTGATTTAGAATTTTCTCGATTTATTGAATCATTATTGAGATTTACAATAGGCTCAAGTATTAATTGAGATTTACTATCAATTCATTTCTCGTGATATATTAGATCAACAAATTATATTAATAAATTAGATAAAAATGGCATTACACGACATGTTTTATAATTTTAATAGAGAATTTGTTTAGTTCATAAGGTTATAGAGTTTTTAAAACTTGTACTTTCCTCACCCTCTAGGTTACAAATCGATCTCTCACTCTCTTTCAATTAAGTGAGAGATTGCAAATTTTTGTTAAATGCAACTTTTCGTTGCCTAATTTGTTGTATTTCAGTGACATCAGATGACATTATTGATGTAATATAATTGTTATGCCCAGTATTTTATGTGAGATTACCAAAGGCTTGCAAACACATATCAATTACTCTCTGGTAAGTTTTTTTTTTGGTTTTTTGTTCCAAGTGACTGATTAGTTAAGTCTTTTCCCTTTTGGATGTTCCATAGAATATTTTAAGCATAGAATCTGTTTAGTTCATAGGGGTTTTGTTTGCATTAAAATCCATAATAAATGGAGTAAAACAGCTCACAAAATAGTTGGCCAGATTACCTGAATTTCTAACCTCTGCAAAAAAAATTTATTGCACTCGGGGGTGTCGTCCGTTAACACGAACTCGACAGGAATTTGACCCGACATAACAAAATTCGAAGATAACACGATTAGTTGATACGAGTAATAAATGAGTTAAATTAAGGTTCAACACGAATAACGCGATTAATGAGTTTTGTAGATAGAAAATAAGTATTTAACGAATACTGTAGACAAAAAATAAGAATTTTATAATTTTTCATAATTTTTTAAATAGTATTGTATGAGTTGTTGTCAAATTAAATAACCAGACAACTGCCATCTTTTCTTTTCTTAGGTTTATGACTATCAACATCATTATTCTACATAGCCAAACAATTGTCATCTTTTATTTTCTTAGGTTTATCACTATCAACATCATTATTCTACATAGTCAAACAATTGTCATCTTTTCTTTTCTTAGGTTTATTACTACATAGTCAGACAAATGCCATCTTTTATTTTCTTATATTTATTACTATCAACGTCATTATTCTAAGTAGCCAGGCAATTGCCATCTTTATTTTTCTTAAATTTACTACCATCAACATCATTATTCTAAGTAGCCAGGCAATTGCCATCTTTTCTTTTCTTAAACTTATTTTTTATCAACATCATTATTCTACGTAGCCAGACAATTTACACTATTCTACATAGCCAGACAATTGCCATCTTTTTTTTTCTTAGATTTATTACTACAACATCAGTATCGCGATTAGCGGTTGACCTAATAACTAATCACCTTGCTATTAAATCTTAAAATCGTGAATTCTAACCTCTTTATTCCTCTCCCAGTAATAGTGTTTGACAAAAAAAATTATCATCATTGCAAAGAACATAGGGATCACCAAAAATGCAATCCTCCCTTGCAAATGTTGATTTATGTGATTCTTTCTTGAAAAATAAGATATAAACTTCAGAACAAAAATGGAGGAGTAATTTAGTAAAAACAATTAGATTCTAGATTATTTTTTTAGTAAAATGATAAATTATCATTATTTTCCGTATGATTAATTTAACAAAGCATTTTTGTATTTTAACTATGGATTATATAATTTTTAGCATTGACAATATGGACGGAGAAATAATAGTTACTAATACTAAAGCACCTACATATATTATTGTAGCTTTATAATCTTGAGAGAATTGATTGGGTTTAATCGAAAAATAGAACGAAAATATTCAAAAACTTTTAGCACAGTAAAATATTTTTTTGTGAAATATGAAATATAATCCTTCTAATACTGTTTATATACCTCAAAACCACATATATTTCTCATCAAGTTATAACTCTTAAGTGGAAAATGAGAATTTTCTCTTGTTAATGCTAGTATATATCTATACTATATATAAGCTAAAAACCCAAAGAACTAGATTATTCTCGAGGGAGAAAAGATTAATGGTCTTTACTTGCTTAACAAAGTCGTGGGTGTGAATTATCTTAAGGTATTCTAGCTAAAATAGTGATTTTCGAAATAGTAATGAGCTTATCAAAATTTTTACTAAGTTTTTTTATGCCAAATGATCTGACACAATGTTCATCATTGAATATTAATGAGACTTACTTATTTGATGGTGAAAATTGTGTCACATTATTTTTGGTAAAAAATCTTGATCAACATAGCACGTTGTTTTCGAAAACCTGTCTACATTGGCTTTGGAGCTCTCTCTCTCTTTCTCTCTCTACATGACAAGTCAAGAGATACATTAGGGAGTGTAAGTGTCTATTTTATGGGATGCAAGGAATAAATGTTGGTTACATGTCTACATATGTGTGAGGTTTATGGGTTGTTTTTCTATGTCTTCAGTGATGGATTTACATTTAAAACGCTTTTTGTAATTGTTTGGCATTGCTAATGATATGATTACATTCTCTTGATTGATGAATTATTTAAAAATAACACACACACACATATATATATATATGGCTCTTAATTTGGAATTTATTTATTTTTATTATTTTCTTCAAAAAAATTCACCAGCAAATCCTCATGAAGTTATCAGGTCATGGCCTTAACTTCAATTGAGTTCGGATTTTATTTTGATTGATAATCCATTCCAAACCCGTTCAATAAAATGAGTTATGCATGATTTGAGCTAATGTTAATGTCGTTTAATGACTTAAACACTCAACATGACACGACACGAGTCGTTGTCAACTCTATTTTATGGTGATATCTGACAATGTTTTCTTGGCGTCAAATCCTTTTAAATTTCACAAAATTAACGTTGTATTGAGAAGTTATGTTACTATGATTTAGTCACATCATTCCTCGCGTAGATAGCATGAAATTTAATCTCAAAATTCTCATAAATGATTCCACTAAATCCACAATTGCTTTGCCATGAATAAATTGATGAAAGAAACCGTATGAGTTGTCTTTAATGTTCACCTTTCAAATTGCTAATTTGGCGAGGAGATGCAAGTAATTAAAAAAAAAAAGTACTTTATTTTGAGTACACAAACAATGGTAAGTCCAAAATGACTTGGGATGGAAATAATTCCAGTACCAGGTCACTTTCTTTAGCTGGTTTGCACATGCCCAGCCAAGGAGGATTAAGAGATTGTATTTTTTGTTTTTTAAGTTCAACGGTTATGGGTATTCGGATCAGATGCGTATTTCGATTAATCCCCTTTTGATTCGATCAAAGACAGTTCATCCACGTCGGTTCTAGAGTGTTCATGAGGGATAAATCGTTCATAGCCCGACTCCAAGGAATTGTAAAAATTCCAATACAAGATGTCTGAATTTACAGTTCATCCACACTTGAACTACTTTTTCGGATTAAGAATTGCATTCAACCATCCATACCATAACCTCTAAAACTAGTCAATCTGGTCTAGAAATGAAGATCATCTTGAGCAAGCCAACCCACCTCAATGGTTGAAACTAGATTGTATCTATATCACTACATCCATCCTGTATATAGTTTCTATAATTTTTAAAAAAAATTGTAGATCACAACTATAAATTGAAGTGATACTCACTATATAACGATGGGTTTTTTGTTAATACACGACGATTGATATATTATTGAGAGAAGTTGAGAAAAAATGTACTAGAGAAGATCCTGAGTGCTCATAAGTTTTTGAGTACTCATAAGACTCGTGCTAATTAATAAACGGATCTAATGAGACAGATAACTAGATCTACAAAAGATAATAATTGATAAATTTCTTCCCGGATTGAAATGTATTCTTTCTTAAAAGAAAAAAAAAACAAAAACAAAGAAGAGTTTCTGTTCTTAAACTTATTCATCAAAGTGTTGAAACCTATATATGGTTACTTCAGACTAAAATAGGCAACCTTCCTTTTGAGATGAGCCATCATAATCAGATTTTAAAGGTTGTTCAGTGGCTTATAACATTTACTTTTTATGGCCTTTACTTAATTGTTCTAAACTGACAAATCCCCCAAAGCAAAAGTGACCATTTGATCTATAAAGTTTTCCACAGCCATTCATTTATCAATAATGTAACCCCAAGAGATAGCTCGGGATGAGTTATAAGTTCAGACGTCTTGAGTTTGATTATTGACAATTTTTTTGAATTAGGCCATGAAGAATTTTATCTCTCATGAATATCATAATTCCAGTGTGAATGATTTACCTTTGACCGATTAAAATATATTGTCATATTTGCCATTTTAGATAGAGCGTAGAGATGAGTATAGCTTTGGATTTGCTAATTATTTTTACCAAAAGAAAAAAACTTGTGCATGAAGGAGTTGAGATTTTGCTTGTGCGCTAAATATTCGTATTTGGTGAAAGAAAGAAAGCCTGCTCTCTAATATCTTTCGGTGCTGTGCACTGACAAATTTGGAAGAAAGAAAACTCTCATGAAGTGAAGTTGCCCATTTCTGTTACTAAAGCATCACCCTTTATTTTTTTTTAATGTATGAATTCATTTCCAATCAAAATGAACTTCAAGTAACCAAGATAGGGTTATGGAAATAAAGAACTTTTTCACGTATCAATTTGACCGACGAGATGACATTTATATATTTATTTAAATAATTTATTGTTGACCGAGTTTGGGAATCAATTTGTCTATAATAAGAATAGTAAGATTGCATAATACTTATCTTTCTCATATTCCATTATAGGTGAAAGCCTTATGCATTCAACATGACGTTTTCACGTATCAATCAGATTGGCGAGATGCTATCTATATATCTTTTTAAGCGACGTGCTATTGGTTTGAGTTCCGAAATCGATTTTTCTACAATAAAAACAATAAGATTGCATGACATATACTTATCTTTCTCATATCCCATTATAGGTGAAAGTCTTATGTACTGAACAAAAAAATAAATATTCTTCATGTGAGAGCATGACGTAACATTGCTCCAACTTGATTTGGGCATCACAGTATTGAGTAACCGAAAATAGTCGTTCAAATGTGAGAATAAGATTGTGCATATCTGATACTCTCCAAATTCTACAGTGATAACCCTCTTATACACCGAACTATTCTTTTTCAAATACATATTTTTATTTTCCTACCCATGATGCAATTCACAAAATAAAACTGAAAAAACAAAAAAAAAAGACAACAAAACTGAGTGGACGTTCATGAATCCTCATTTCAATCAGTAAATGTTCTGTGATTTGGTAGGTGAGGCAGGTTCTAATAATTTCTGGCAGAGCTGCTTTTATTCCAGCAGCTGTGCTTGGCATGTTCGAACGTGCATGTATAAAAATTCAATGGCATTATACTATTTCAATTCAAAATCTTCTTATTTAGCTGTAGCTTACTATATATATATATATATATATATATATATATATATATATATATATATATATATATATAGTATGGTGTGACAATGTCGAATTAAGACTATCGCAAAGTAAACATAGAGTTGGTCTAAGCCTTGACTATGGACGTTAGACAGTGACCCAAAAATACTACCTTAATCTTTATTTACAACAGTCACAAATCAAAAAACATTCGTTTAGACTAATCACCTAATTAGCAAACATAACAAGGTACCAGAAGATTGTAATTTCTATGGATTATTTATTCCGATGCCTTTCAATATTAGTTTATCCATGAATAGGAATGTCATACTGAAGTTTGTGAATGTTGGTAGTTTTTTTCAGGCATAAAGCAGATAGTTAGAGGTCGCACCTAGAACGATGGCAGCCCTCATACCCTCGAATAACCAAGAGTAAAAATTCTTATCACTTACTACTCTCTAACACCATTATAAGCAAGAGCCTCATGCATTACATTTATAAATAGAGCATCTATATCATGAATTTACATTAAATCCACTATACGTAAAAGTAGATCCTCCAAGACATTTACTTTCAATCTTCTTCACTGAAAGAGCATCATTTATCGTGAATTTAAATAGGACCCATTATATATGAACATTAAAAAAAAAAAAAAGGGATGATCCTAAAGTGTACACATTTTCAACACTCAGTTCCATGCTGCATCAAAGACCAGCAAACTTTTCATGATCAATCCACAAGACATAATTTAAGTACTGGGACAAATACTCCTGTGCATGTTAACAACTTATGTAATGTTTTGAGGAGTATAAAGTCCCCACAATGCAACAGTGGTGTCTTCTGATGCAGAGGCCATCAGTTTACTATCTGATGAGAATGAAACAGCATTGCACTGCAATAAGGGGGGAAAAAAAGAGATAGTGTATTCATCAAGGAAAACAACAAATTGCTTATTACCTTAAAATATCCATCTGATTATGCACGGATAGAGAGAGATTACATAAATATAATGTACTGAAAAGTGCAAGATGCATATAAGAACACAAATCTTGATGCAATATCCATATCCATACACTAGAGAATCAAATTCAAATGATTAGACAATGGAATACTAGAACTTCTTTTTCTTCTGCATTGTCATCCCATTTCTAGGATAATGCAGCATGCAGTAAAGCACTGTGATTGTTTTAGGTACATATAAAAATAAATGTATCCATTTTTAATAAAAACACAATGGAATAGACACATGCCTATTTCTACCAAGAGGTGAATAGGCAAGCAAAGAAACGGTGGGGGATTGATGGACAGAACTGGTACAGTGAAGATGATCCTGTTTTAAATATTCATTCTACAGCAAAAAAGATGGAAATAGAGGCATACCGTGCCATGATGATACTTTAATATGGCCAAAGCATTTCCTTTGCGATAGTTGTATATCCTTACACTGTCATTGCAGGTGGAAAAGGATTAACTTCTAAGAGGATGATTTCTGAACAGAATAAATGCCTTGAGAAAACAAATTTTATGAAAAAAAATTCCTGGTTTTGAAGAATTCCGGTACAGCTGGGAGCCATGGTAATGCAGTATGCTCCTTGTCAAGAAGGTAGGAGGACAAAGCAATAAAAACTTGAAGTTAGAATTTATTAAATACCGGTGATCCCAGCCAGCAGTTGCAGCAATCTTGCCATCTGGCCGAATTGAAGTTCCTGAAATGCCAGGCCGCTCCAAACAAATTTCTTTCTTGATCACACATGAACCCTATGACAAATGAAAATACACAAAATTTACATTAAAATATATCATTTCAAATAGTAGACAAAGTAGAAAATAGCAATACCCTTTTCTTCTTTATTTTTCTCTTTCTTTCTTTCTTTCTTTTTGGCAGTAAGTAGCAAAACACCACAATTATTCATTCTAATGTTGAAGTAGGCAACCTCTTGGAAACTGATAAATATTCACTTCTGTAGCAGGACTGCAGGATATTTGAGACTGCTGCAAAGATGATTGTTATTTGGTCTTTGGCGCCATGTTTTGCATGGGCCAAAACTCAATCATCATGCATAAGCAATTTTAGCTGTAATCTATAGCTTGAAGGCTTTCAAACTACTACTTAATTCACTTGTTCTTCTTCGTCTAAGCTGTACCATATCGTTCAAGTATTTTGATTGTAAGAGACTTGAAATATACCTTCCAACGTGATTTTTTTTCTAATACAGGTTGCATGTGCAAGTTCATCGACACTTCAGATGAACTCCTAATAATCAAATGGTAATGCCAGAATTTTTACAAAAAAAAAATAAGGGAAAATGAACAATAGGCAAGAGCTGAAACACAGAACCCAAATCATAATTTGTAAATCCAAAGTGAATGTCACCTAGATGGTGGGTAGATTTTGCATGTGTTACGCATACAAGTACGATATGATATTTTTTCTCCGACACACGACGTGATGGAGATAGACTTAGCTAATGGCTGTGAATAGCAATAGTTGATGGTCACATAT